CTCAGCCGGTGTTCGCTGCCGGGCTGCAATGACTCCAGAGAGAAGGGCTCCCTGATGCACAAACGGGTGGAATGTGGCTTTGTCTGGGGTGCACAAAATGAGCCGGTCCCGACGACAATGCAGAGCGCTGGCGGCATGCAGCTCGAGCTCCTCGCCTGGCTGTCCTGGGTGTAAGATGTCGCGCTCAACATCGGGCGCAAGAATGAGCCATGAGTCTGACACTTCCTCGCTGACGATCTGCCGAATCTCAGCTGAAAGGAAACTAGGATCCCCGAGACACTCTGCCGAAGGCGGGAACCAGTGAGGTCTGCCATAGACTGGGACAAATTTAATGGTGTCGCCGGTCAAAACCCGAATGGTCATATCCGATCGTAGCGGGTCTGGGTGCCCAGTCTGGAAGGCATCCCAGGGGGACATTGTATGCCGACTAGCATGTTCAATGACCTGAGCGTGCGGGAGATTCTTTTCAACGATGGCGGCATATATCGGGCCCCCAACAGCCGCAAAGTCAAAAACAACTTCGGCATGTTCCGAGTGTTCGAGCCACTGCGGAACAAGAAGGAGCGAGACATAACCTTCCTCTGGCTGTGGTTCAACAAAGTCCAGGTCGGCTGCAAAGAAGATCTTCCTGGGGCTGAGTTGATCAACAACTGTTTGGAGGAAGAGCTCTGGTGTGACCGGAACCTGGACGGGAATCTGAATCGCCTGGGAAGGGTATCCCGGTGAAAGAAGTACACACTGGACCTTAAGCGACGAACTGTCCGATGCAGAAGCCGGGACTGTCCCATCGACCTCACCTGTTGGGTCGCTCCACGCACGAGAAAGGGGCTCAGGCTGGCTGATGGAGGCATCGCCCTGGGAAGCTGTCCTGTGTCCTAGCCCAGGGACGGCCGTAACCCGAAGATCCTTAGGCAACCTTATCGGAACGGCCCCGAAGCAGTCCGGACAATTAAGCAGAATGAGGCACCAGAGAAGAAGCCGATTGCCGATTGATGGCATGCCGCGTGGACGCCCAGAATGGCGCCCAGAGGGTCCTTGGTGAGCACAATGTGCAGGTGGCATGTCAGCCGATTGACTCGGGGAGAATCCTCGAAGACTCAGCAGGGGCCTCGTCGCAACACCTTTGCAAGGCAACCCCAGGAGGCGGCCAAGTGGTTCGTGTCTGGCCGGAATTTGTTTCCAGAGGCAAAGGTACAGGGCCAACACTATCTGGAAGAGGATGGCCCTACACAACGGCACCAGGAAGTAGCCGACTGCCTCAAGAAGACCTAAGAACCACGACTCAGCAAAGGAAGAGAAACAAGGAACCCGAGAGGTGGGGGGACTAAACCCGAGAGGTCTAGAGGAATCAGGGCAGATGACAACTTCCCCGGCGGACGCCCCTGAACCACCGATACGTCTCTTAGGTGCTCGGAGAAGTTGGTCATCGACTTGCTTTGGGCATAAGATAGTGCCCTGGAAAGCAACAACGGCAACGGGGCCAAAGGTCTGACCTAAGCAAGGCTCGGTCGGGAAAAATGGAGTGCAGCCAAAACTCAAGGCGCTTGATCTCCAAAACAATCCGCACCCAGTTGCAGTTGCAGATGGGAGGCGGTGTCCCCCAAGGGCAAGACCAAGAGGGCGGCCTGAGAAGGATGGGTGCAGGCCTGGCAAGGGGATTCCGGAGAAGGTGAAAGACAAACACCTCTCCAGTCTCCGCGAGGAGGAGAGAGACCCAATACCATCAACATCGATCAGCCCAGGAAAGATGTCGGATGGGAAAGGGTCCCAGCAAGGTGTGCTGACGCTAACATCGAAGGCGATGCCCCGAAGCGCCTGGAGGAGGATAGGCACCGAAAAGCCAAGAGGCAGGTTGCTCGAAAAGAAGCCAGGCAACCGGGGGAGAGCAAAAGCCCTTTGCATAGAGACAGGGTGCCAGTCAGTGTGCTGAAAGACAAGGAGGGTACGGCCCCACCAGAGCCCAACACAAGCCCAGTGCCAGCTCTGGGGGGAGAGGAAGCGAGGAGGGTCGCGGACCACCATCACAAAAGCCCAATGTGGGTGATCAGCGGCATCCTGGACGGTCACGGAGGACGGACAAGGAAGGGGCAGATCCAAGCAGCTGCAGTCTACTGAGTGAGACCACAGAAGTCCACAGACTGCACTTGCCAAAATGTCAATGGGAGGACATTGACCGACGGAGAACAAGCGGACAGGCCATCTCCCCAATGAGATGGCAAGCCCAGCCGGCTCCGGCAGTCTGTCGGCCCAGCGTCCTGTTGGCAATTGCCTCTGCGACTTCTGTCTACAGTTACTCAGAGGAGGAGGCACTACTCCATGCCAGCCAATCCTGATCGCTGTCCTGGTTCTGGCGGCTTCACAGCACGGTCGAGCTCCTCGTCCTCTGGAATCACCTGTGCTCCCGTTTGGCCCGAGTCTATGCCGGCCGGGTTGAGACCGAAGGGAAACATTGCACGCTTCTCGCCAAGCGTCTTTGCAAGATCTTCGGACCCTGGTGGTGCCCCATCCATAGGGCCCGTAGGTCGGTGGGTCTCGTAGGGATTGACTCTTGGGGAGGCAGAAGACGATTGGCGGAGCCTCGTAGTAGCCGGTGAGGCCTGGTACGGCCCAGGGCCGTGTGCCTCCACATAGGCTGGTGGTGGGGGTTGTCCCTCGCGGATCCCCGTGTTGTGTCCACCATCTTGGGGCGGACCGCCAGAGGCAGGAGGCCCAGTCGGCGGGATCAAACCCGGAGCCCCAGCACTGCTCATGGCCATCTGTGGCAACGCTGCCAGAGTAGCATGAAGGAGTCTGGTTGCAGCTTCGGCTGATAGCATGCCCGAGCCATTGCCAGGTGGTGCCGTACTGGCCCGCAGGTTGCTTGCTGCCGCCAGGGCGTCCTGGAGGAAGCCCGCTTGGGTCGGTACCTCGCTCGTTGCCAACAAAGCATCCCAAGGATCCTCCGCCGTTTCCATGGGTGCTGTGGCAGTCGGCCGCTCTCCATTCACAATCGCCTGGACATTCCTGGCGGCATCCTGTCCTGTCTCCGTCGAGGCTTGGATGTCCTGGTCGATCTTCTGGATCGCTGCTTCGAACCTGGCCAGTTCCGCCAAGTAGTCGTCGCGCGACTTTTTGGCAAAGGCTTTCCACTGAGCCGTCTTCGTAGCTCTGTCCTCCTTCAGTCGTCTCACGCGGTTGTCGGCCTTCTTGGCTACCGAGACCGCCTTTTGCACTTCCCTCATGATGTTGTAGCCTTCGATGTTCTCTGGCAAGACAGTCGCTGTGGGCTCTTCTTGGAGTTCGATCTGATCGTATGAGGGCCGCTTGGTCGCCGATTTGGCATGCGGTGACACTGCATAAGACCCAGGCCACACACGCCCATGCCAGGGGGGCTTTCCGCCCTTCCACTCTTGCCATTCCTTTGCTGTCCATTTCTTTCCTCCCATGCCACAATCTCGTCGATAGTGAGGTCGAGAGTGGTGAGCTTCGAGGCGTATCACGTCCCTGGCCAAGGGACGCAAGCCTCTGGCGCGCCTCAGACGCACCCGTGTACGCAACTTTGATCGCAGTTGCCTCTTGTGGCGGTGCCAGGCTGGGCTACGGCGAACCCTGGGTATGGCGGGGAAGAAAGGGAGCGCACGTGCACGTCTTGTGCACTGGGGCCTTCAGCTATCCTCCTGGGAGGTTGATCTGAGCCCTTATATATATATATATATATATACATACAAGGGCCAATAAATCCTAAACCCCTGACTCGAAGAATGGAAGTTCTTGCAAAGGTGGGGACACCTCAGACAATAGATGAGGATACCATTATTCAGCTGGGGTACCCTTTTTCTGAAACTCCCGTACGGCTATCTTGAGCGTAAACCCTATAGGGTCGAAGAGTGGAAACCTAGGCCTTCAGCCACTGAATCGAAACTGGAAGGAAGCAATGCAGTGTTAACGCAGCCACATCCCAAATCCCAAAAACACTGCACAAAGTCGAGCATGCAAGATCCAGATCCTGAACCGTCGAACATGGAAGCTAAACCTCGGGCACGAACCCCCCCGAACTTCCAAACTCGAAACCCTGAGCCAAATAGACCCGCAATCTGATGCCGACCTCAAACCTCAGGCGACGTCCTTCGGCAACATCCACCTGAGGCCACATCGAGAGTTCTTTTGACCTCCAACTAAAAACCGGCGTCGGAATCCCACAAAAACACATGAATAGCACAGCTACTCAACTCGCAGAAATCGAAACATGGTCTACATTGATGTTCAAAACACTCAAAGAAGCGAAGCAATAGCTGAGAAAATGGATCGTGAAAGTCTTACAACACTTCCTGTCTTCCGAAAGCAAGATGCCACCTGGAATCACCTAGTGCTGTACAGCGCCCTGAGCCTATACATTCTGCTGGAACAGTGTTTTGAGGTGGAAGCTTACTTTGGGGAACGAGAACAGTAACCATGAGAATAGCATCCTTTCCATAGTTCTCGGGCTTGGGACCTCCATGTCGCAGTGTTTTTTGCCCAAGAAGCTCTCGTGTGTGAAGCCTCAAAGCCTCGATTCTTGAAAACCCTGGCAAAGAATGGTCATGTGCCCGAACCATACTTTGGGCGTGGTACAGGAAATGTCAGCTCAAGTCGAGTTTATGCTGAGGCGCACCGTTTTGCAGATCACCGCGAACTGGCCGGATGCTTGTTTTCCGAGGACCAAGATCGCAAATGCGACCGAGGCATCAGAAGGATCTAGGGTTCGTAAGATTTAACCGGCCCGCCTCCCAGCTGCAGCTTGAGACGTCCGGTCACTGTGTGCCAGAATGCATCGGATATCCTACGATATGGACTCCGAAACTGAGCCTTCCAGTTGTTTAGAGTAGAGATCAGTACCTTCACCTAGGAGAAGGAGTGTTGTAAGCACTGTGTCTGGACTTAATTGAAGCCATGAGCTGTTGAAGCTGAACCACAAACCAAAGCCGTACAGGGCCCTGTGGACCAATTAGTTCTGGCTACCGCAGCTCTGGCGATCTGCCAATCTACGCACTCAATGCTCCCACAAGAGGCATGCCCAAATGCTGGCACCACTCGCGCTGGGCCGAGAGCTTGACGAAGCGCTTCCAGTTGTTCTCGAGCTCGGGGCTGGCTGCGGGAAGCGCCTCGATGAGCAGCCGGAATGAATCATCAGTTTTGAATCTGTAGCGGGACTGATCGATCTTCTCGACGTACTCTTGGACGTCTGTACTCCAGCATTTGCCTGCATCTGATCCGGCCGTTGCCGTGTACCATCCTTGGAGCTTGCCCTCCGGACCTCCTGCCACCATTCGCACCGTGTGCCAACCGTATGGGGCCACCACCGACTTAGCAAGGTTTGGGAAGTCTGCCTTCGAGCAATCCACGACCCGCCACCCACTAGGAATATCCACCACCAAGCCATGCATATCACGACCAACTTGTTTGCTGTGTGGAAGAGCCGGCGGCCACACGGAGAAGCTGCGGCCATCATACTGGATGCAGTTCTGACTGGGCAGTGATGCTGCAACCCCGCTCGCCTCCATGGATTCTTCGTGTATTCCATAGATGACGTCAATCTTGTCACCGTGCATGACTGTATGGTAGGCAAGGTATGTTGTGGTAACTCCTTTGCCAGCATTTCTATTTCCGATGAAATGGACACCTTTGCCCTCCTCGCTAATCGTAGCACACTTCAACGGTGCTGTCTGAGCATCCGTGAGTTGGAGCTCCTGCTTCAGCCCTTCGACCGCCTCGGCCCAGTGCGTAACCAGGTAGCCTTTACGATTGACGAAGGAGCGTCGGCATGAGTCGCTCACAACAATTTTCCCACCGCTCTGCTCCACTTTCTGCTGTGCCTTGGTGCAACACTCGTGGCAGGGCTCTTGGGCTTCGGCTCTGCATTCAAGTCCTGGGTTTGTAGAGCCCCGCAGAACCCCCTACAGTCAACCCAGCAACTTGACCTGGAACGCGTTAAGTACAGGCGGCGAGCATCAAGTACAGCTTTATCAGTGGCACCTCCCTGGCCGGTGAGCCAGGACATAGCACTGCTGAGCTTGCTTTGGAGCTGCTCCCAATTGCCTGGCCGTCGCCACTCAACCTGACACAGGGCGATCCGTCGCAGATCTGAATGGCACGGGTACCGATTTGGAGATCGCTAGCCCTGTCAGCCTTGAGGCGTGGGTCCGGATGTTGAGCATGCTCGGCAAGGAATTCTTCGATACCAGGCTTCGTGGCATCTAGATGGAAGACTTCTTCACCTTGTTCATAAGAAATCTCGAAGTCTGCAATGCTCATCCCTGCCTTCACGAACACATCATGCAGGTATTCCCTGCTCGGCCTCCACTTGACAGTCTTGTTGGTACCTTCCTGGTCCTTTTCGTGAAATACGATTTTGACCGACTTCTCTGGGGGAAATGTCATGCCACCATCCGGCTCAAAGCCCGCCATCGCCTGGATCTTGCGAAATGCCAGCGGACCATACCTCAGCCGAGTGGGTTGGAGAAAGAACCGGGCGCATGGAACTCTGATGCCGTCGCACTAAGGAAGGAAACTTGCAGCAGAGGCACTTCAAAGCAGAAATGGCAGCAGCAGCTCCAGATGCGACGAAGACATTTATGTCTGGGCCAGCACAGGGCTGCGAAGAGAGGGTGTGCCCAAAGCCGGCATAGTAAGCCCGGGCGGGAAAGCAATGCCGAGCCAGCTGGTCCAGTCGGTGCATCTTACTGCGTGGGATGCGCCGAGAAGTCTACGGGAATGTCGGCCGAAGCGTCAAGCCAAATGCTATCGTATGGTCCATGTCTGCGATGGGGCCAGACTGCCGGCTATGGATGCCGAAAAACAACCTGCAAGCACTGGGGGGTTCGACTGCGCATGAATAGCTCCTTTGCGCTAGCCGTGGGCTGATACAGTCATTTACACCACTACCTGACCCTAGCTTCTGAAATGGCATCTTGTCATTCAGCCGCCTGTAATCACAGCAAAATAGCTTATCGCGGCTTAAATGCATGCAAACCGATATGTGGTTCCTGCATATCTACTTCACACAACAAGATGTAAGAATGTAGTGTATACACACCACCAGCATGCATCAAGCCATATCAAGCCGAAGTACGACATGTTCGACCGGAGCAGCAAGAACACAGGCATGACAGAATCATCAGCACTCTGCCTCCAGCGCCTCTGTGGAAGCAAAGGCCACGGAGCCTTTATCATCCTCGACACTTTGGGTTGGGCTTGGGGTGTCAGTCTGCCTGGTTGCGAATGCTGAGAATCTGAAGCTCAGATTGTCTAGAGTCGCGGGGTGCTAAGTAAGCTGTAGGATCGCCGAAGCAACCGTCGTAATAGCAGTAGTGGCAGTTGCAGAACAGAAGCAAAACGAGGTGCAAGAAGACTGAGCTGTCTCCGTTGTCATGGTCGTTGTCGACAATACCACTTATGTTGCCAGGAATGCTAGTCGAGTTTGAGTGCTCGTGCTCGGCAGCAGTGGGTCCTGGACGCCCTCTCGGATGATGGTGTCTGGCCTGGATATGCAAGGAGTACACTGAGTTTTGGATTCGGCCAAAGGGCCCTTTAATGTAGGGGCCTTAAGAATTAGAATAGGGTTTTGGGACCCCTTATACTGTCATTATATTAAGGAACCCCCAAAATAGTATAGGTAATTATTGAGGCCCCTATATCAAGTGCCCAGAAGGTGTCAGTTTACCAGGACAAGAATTCACAGGATGAGGATGGACTCCCGTTGACATTCAAAGCTGAATGCAGCACAGCCTCGTTTGTTTTGCGCTCGGGAGCTCCAGGTGTTGAGGTCAAAATTCAAACTCAAAGAGGGCTTTTCGAGGTGCGGGATCATTATGCGCATACAGCTGGCTGGACTGCTCATGTTCTTGCTTGCGTTGGTGTTGCTATCATGCTCTGATCTTGACCAGCAATAGGCTGCGAATCGGAGGGCTCTCACCTTCTTCAGCTCACACTGCAGTATGACTGCTGCAGTGACTAGGACAATGCCTTGGACATATGGACAGCAGACAAGTGTCATCTAACAGGAGGTAAGACGTAGCAACCGAAAACTGACCTGCACACACATGCATGCATATAAGTAAGTAAGTAAGATTATATGTAACATGTATGTATGTATGATTGTATGTATGTCGGTATGTCTGTATGTATGTGCGTATCTATACACACATGGTTCACAGTAATATGTGTGTACATTACTGCATATGTGTATGTACATATTTATGTAACAGCACTCATATGCATGTCTGTATACAGGCATAAATACAGGCGCATGTATGTACTAAAGACTGTACAGCTTCTAAACAGTACACCCATGCCTCAAGCCTTAGAAGAAAATACAACTCTTTGGGCCAGGAGCCTGCCATCACCTGGCAGCAGCTTCACGCGGATCCATACCTGCCTGTGGGAGGACTGTGCAACAAGCAATCGGGGACAAGGATTTACGGCTTTCCTGTGTTGCCGATTCCAGCTTCAGCAAGTACAAGGTCAAAGCTGCCTTGCTTTAGAATTTAGGGTCTTTACAACGAAACTGCCAGCGAAGAAGTGTACGTAGGACCGCTCTGAAAGGGCATCGTAACAGACAAGTCTGCTACACAGGCCGCAACGGACTCAGAATGGCCTGGGCTGGTATCTCCGGCAGCAGAGCTGATGCCACCTGAAAAGCTCCAGGGGCCGAGGGAAGCCAAGGCTTCCGAGTTTCGGGATGAGGGGTCACCCTCGGGCTAAGGACTTTTCAGGACCTCGGATGTTCGGAAAAAAGTGCTCGACAATGGAAAGTGTATGCCTCTCTTTCAATAGAAACCCTGAGCGCTAATCTCCAGTACTGCCCAACTGATCGTCTCAGAAATTAAAGTCGGGAGAAGATCACAAGGCCCAAACGACTGGATCCTTCGTGAGGATCCTCAAACCAGGAGCCCGAAAGAAAAAAGACGATGGGGCAAGGCCTCGGTGCGTGCCGAAGCGGCAGATCGACCTCATCTTCAGGCCGAAAGCTGTGGAAACTAATGCTTGCCCAAAGGCCCCAAAGTAGTTCCTTTTTGGGGTTCATATTTAGAATTCTATAAGATAATCCCAAAAAGGAACTACTTTGGGGCCTATGGGTAGGATCAACTAGACCGTCTCGACCCAACCAATGACCATACCTTCACAACAGCAGTACCAGTAGCAAGAGCGACAGCTGCGAAGCGAAACAAAGAGAAACAAGCTTAGGGTCTTATGATTTGCAAGGCGCATGGTCGAAGGGTCCAGCATCCGGTTTTAGGGCTGATCGGGCTTGCCTGGAAGCTCTGAGCCCTTTAACCCGACGCGGCCAAAGCACAAACACCCCTACAACCACCGAGCTCAATTGCCGTAAGTTTATCCGTCTGGCTGAAGGCATAGAAGATTTCTTGAGCAGCAGACAGCCCATGCAACAGGATAGACAAAGGTGCTAGCTGAGATGCGCCTTTAAAATTGAAGCGAACCTGCAGCGCCGGAAATGAGGTTAAGGGTCCTCTGAGCTATGTTACTGGCATCGGTACAAGATCATAGATCATCCAGCAATAGGCGCCGCGACGTGTGTTGACATGTGTAAGTGTCCCGGCAATGGCCACCGAACCGGCAGGGGCCTCAGCCGTCAGCCAATCAAGGTTTGAGTGGTCCAAGTCATAAGGGAGTTTCCGAAAATTAGGGATACCTTATTTTGGGGTACTTATAATAAGGATCCCATAGGGTACTATAACTAAATTAGGGTCCCCTATTTTCGGAAACTCCCATATAAGGATTGCATCACAGGTTTCTGTCCCAGAGCTGACAGTATTGATCGGGCTCAGTGGTGAAGAATTTTAAGGCTTATGGTTTGAGCTTTAGGTTTTGCGATAAAAAACCGCTTCACAGCTTGGGAGTGGAGCTGAAAGGATTTTTGGCTTTGGTAGTGAATTGGCTTTAGGGATTGTGGCATCGCCTTAAAGTCTTGACCGTTACAAGTTGAAACTAGCCATTAGGAGGGGCGCGCAGGCCTTCTATCGCAAGCCACGAGGCACAATCTCGGATGGTAGGAAGGTTTAGAGTAAGGGTTCAGGCGCTGAGGGGTCATGGGCTTTGGTTCGGGGTTGAGCGCTTAGGGATTTGCAGACTGCGACTGCCAACCATGCGAGGCGCTAGTTATGTAACTTAGTACCCCGAGCTTCTGTATGCAGCCCCTGAAAGACCGAGGATAACGGCCAAATGCGGCTTACTCCCCAAACGAAGTACTGAGACATCGACCCCTGGCTGGCAGCCGTCGGCCCAGACCCGTAGAGTGGTCATTGATGCAAGGAGCCATCCGTTCCGAGAAAGGTGAACGTTTGAACGCACTTCTCGGAATTGGAAGGCTTTGGAGTCGGGTCAGTGTGGGCTTGGATGTTGGCTTCGTGCGGAATCGTAACGCTCTTGTTGCAAGTATCTGCTCAGAACATCTGGTGGGCTGACGGTCAAAGTTGCATGTCGGGCTTCCGGGGGGGTTTTCGAGTTCAGGGTACGGTGGTTGGTGGTTTGCGGCATGAGGACATCTCTTGAGCCTCAAGGCATGGCTTTGGCAGACATGGTCGGTTTCAACACAGAAGCGACATGCAAATCCGAAATGGCAAGTTCACCTTATTATTCATCTCCTGAGTAAAACCAGCCCGAGATCTTGCCTGTGAAGTCAGCTGGGCAGGAACATGGAAGCGAGGTTCGGACAGACGTTCTATGTTGAGCCTACTGAGGCAGAGGTGAAAGAAGTGAGGTGATCCGAGGAGCTCCCGTCCGGGGCGAAAAGAGACTTTTTGCCTTGAGCGACGGGTACTCCGGGCAGATGGACGAAGCCCTGCTTTGCCTTGCCCATTATCTCAACTTAACTTGTGAAAGAATGCCTAGACCTCTCACAACAAAGGAGATGCCTTCTGACCTGACTTGCGGGTCGCAGCTATAGCTGGGATTGACGGTAAGTAGTTAGGAATCGGAGTTGAGGGCCTGACGGCCACACTCCATTTCGGCGGCTGCAGGGTTTCCGAGTTCCATCATTTACGGATTGCACCTCATTCCAGCGCCGTCGTATGGCGGCACCAGCCTCTGCAGCCCCACATTTCTAGAATAGCAGCCACTTGCATACCGGAAGTCCCAGAATTTGCATGGACATACCCCAATCGTTGAAGGTGATTGTGTTCGTGTATACCTGATGGACGTACTCTTACTACAGTGCACTGTATCAAGCTCTATTACACTACACGGTCTGGCAATACTCTGTATCGCTTGCCTTTCTGGCACAAGCGGGTCCGACGGCTTCTGCATTACTCTGCATCGCATCTTTGAACATTATATAGCATTCTCGTCACACTACTGATACACTGATCCCTTTACTTATAAGAAAAGTGCTGCTGCTCCTGAAGTTGCCTGCCAATGCTGCCATCGGAATACTCCCCCCGGCAGGTTGAGGAGCCGGCAAAGGAAGTGCTTGCAACAGCTATCTTCAACGGCAACGCCTGGCGGCTCCTTGCACAGGGCATGGGGGGAGGGAGGGCCTCTGAACTTGCTCTTAAAACCTCGCCTTTTGAAGCATGTACCCTAGAGGCCTAAATGTGTAGAAATGTGTCCCGCTGCTGGAACCTCCGGGAAAGGAAGCCATGATAAGTTCAGAGCAGCGACGGTCTTGGACTGTGGACAAACAAGCAATAGGGCTAGCCAGGCTAGCATGCTCAGATCTTC